TCCAATTCAATGACATTAAGTATATTCAAAATATTGTGCAGCCAATACCACCATCTAGTTCCATAATTTTTCTCTAAAAGGAAAGCCTAAACCCATTCAGTAGTTTTTCTCATTTTCTGACTCTAGGCCCTCACAACCACAAATCTAATGTCTGTCTTCATGGATTTTCTTATTATAGATATTTTTCATAAGTGGAATTATACAATAGGTGCTCTAGTTGCTCTGCATAAGAAAGATGAGACTTTCTACTCCTATAAAGATTTACAGCCTTAGAAACCCTACACAGGGTCGTTATGAATTGGAACTGACTCTACAGCACACCACCAAAACCACCACCACCATACAATTCAAGCAGGTGCTGTTACAATCGCTACCACTGTAGACACTTTGACAATAACTCTTTTTTTTTTCCCTTAAGTTTTTATTGTTGGCAAGAAACTCTTGTTAAATTTATTCTAAACTTAAATTTAGAATTTAACTCTTAAGCTTATTCTTAACTTAAGTTTAGAATTTAACTCAAGTTAAATTCCTCCTTTCCCCACAATGGGTCAGAATAATCTTTCTTGCTTTAAATGAAAAAGTAACCATGACAAACACCTTTATCATGATTATTATGTGCCAGGCAATGTTCTAAGTTCTTTACTTTTGGTAATTACTTTGTATTTTCAAATGACCCTTTCAGGTAGACTAGACCCCACTGTTTGAACCAAGGAAATAGATTCAGAGAGGTTAATTAGCTTGCCCAATAGTACGGCTGTCAGTGGCAGAGCAGTTTGATTCTTGGAGATCTGGCTTCAAAGCCCATGCTTTCAAACACTAGTATTTGTTACCTTGTTACAGACTCCCTTTTCTTAACAACATGCAAAACCTCAATGGTGTTTGTGCCCACACATAGCTGGCTTCTCAGTTTGTTTCTTATCAGTATTTGTTGTTACTTACTTCTAAGTCTGAAGCGTTAAATTCATAAGGAAGACTCCAGCCTAATATTCCATAATTTTTTCTTTCATTGATCACAGCATTGAAAAAACATAGGCTGAATAAAATTTTTTTCCACCATGGTCCACAATCAGGATTTTCAAATATCTCTTCTGTTACTTCTCCACTCCCACTATGTCCAAACGTCTGAAGTAAATTACTTTTCAATCCCTGGGGATAGTCCACTGCAACCTTCACAAAAGAGGTGAGTGAAAACAACATGTGAGGGCTAATCTTTGTATAGCACTGCTAGAGAACCAGCTGTGAATGTAACTGTTTTGAAGGTTTAGAGGCAAATCAAACATTTTGTTCTTTTTTCCCCATTTGACAACCTTTATAAAAAGATTGTGCTGGATTTGCTTTTGTTGTTGTTTCAATTCATATTTTAAGATGAGAACATAACATTGTAAAGAGAACTAAACCTATTCCATCAACCCTGTCTTTCAGTTTATCTTACCAGATACTTATCTTTCAAATGTCATCAGGATCATCCATGGTGGACAAGTTTCAGTGGAACTTTCAGACTATGACAGACTATGAAGAAAGGCCTAGTGATCTACTTCCCAAAAGTGGTCAATGGAAACTTTATGGCTCATACCAGAACCTTGTCTGACTGGCTGACTTTGGACAGGCCATCAGGAAGGATCAATCACTGGAGGAGGATACCATGTTTGGTGCAGTAGAGGGGCCAGCAAGATGGGGAGACTCTAGGTGAGAGAAGAGCCACACACTCAAACATGCTGGTGATTGTGAGGATGATGCGTGACTGGGCATTAGAAGTTTCTTTCGATCATACATAAGGTTTCCATGAGTCCAAATAAACATCACGTGATAGCAGCTATCTATTCAATCTACTAGCTCTACACTGTTGAATAAGCACTGGACTGCTAACCATAAATTGGTGGTTCAAACCTACCAGTTGCTTCTTGGAAATCTCATATGGGGTCTCTATGAGTTCGAACTGACTCTATAAGTTGGCACTTAACAAGAATATAGGGTTCTGGAAGCACAGCAGTTTGGAAAGTTTGACAATAAAGAATATCTGCTAGATCAAAACCACATTGCTGTGAGGGTTCCAGTTCATATATTCTTAGGTTTATTCCAAACAAAACATGGTTATATGTCTCTATGACCAGTGGATGGCTGCAGACAAATTCGCTCAGTAAAAATACACTTGTCTTGGTTTTATTAAGGTGCCTTCAAAAAACACTTCCAACCAAAACAGTGCCTTCTGAGGTGATCTGTTGGGTCAGTTAAATTCAGAGTCAAAGAGGCCAGCTCAGAGGTTATGGCAGTTATTTGGGTTCCAAAGAGGTCATCTTGGTAAATTATTTTGAAGAACACAGGCTGATCATGTGGGTTATTATCAATAAGTTTTAAGAAAGTTGAAATTGCATTAGTGAGAAAAAGACCAGGAAAGCTGCCCTGAGGAATTTTTTCCCATTACGACAGAGCACCTGCTTACTCTTCAAGAGTAGCAAAGACTGCCCTATGAAAATTATGTTGGGAACCCTTACACCTCATCCATTCTATAATTTGGATATTGTCCCTTCAGACTTCTTTTTGTTCTCCAAACTCAACACATATTTAAAGGAACACAATTTGAGTCCCTTGAGGATGCCAAAACTGCTGCTTGGACAAGGTGTAAATCGAAGTGTGGGGAATTCCTCTAGGGAAAGTTCAGAGAGATGGAGACAATGCCTTCAGAAGTGTACAGATCTAGATGGAAGCTATGTAAATAGACAATAGCTTCACATTTTGATACTGTGTTTAATAAAGTTTCTATCATCTTGTAGCAATGCTTTTTGAGTTACCCTTGTATATTGCAAAATTACTTTCCAGAACTATTTTGCCTTGTCAACATTATGCTACAATGGCTACGTTACAGCAATAACTATAGCATAACTGTTTTTAAAGCAACCATTGTCAATTTGATGGGTTAGCAAAAGTATTCTATTGTTTTGATTTGCATTTTTTGATATCTAGAGGCTGATTTTTTTTTCTTCATATGCGATCTGAACTCTTGTACTCTTTGTCTTTTTTTTTTCTTTCCCCTTTTATAGAGTGTTAGTGATTTCCTTATTATTATTTGTTGTTGTTGGTATGTGCCGTGGAGTTGGTTCCAATTCAGAGCGACCCTGTACAGGGTTTCTGAGGCTGTAAATCTTTATGGGAGCAGAAAGCCTCATTTTTCTCCCACGGGACAGCTGGTAGTTTTGAACTGCTGACCCTGAGGTTAGCAGCCCGATTAGTAACCACTATGCTACCAGAGATGCTATTTCCTATTTATTATGAAAGCTATTTTCTCTGTCTGCATAAAAGATTACCAAACCAACATCAAAACCACTTCTATCGAGTTGACTACAACTCATAGCAACCCTGTATAGGGCTTCCCAGGCTAATCTTTACAGGCACACAAAACCTCATCTTGCTCCTGCGTAGCAGTTGTTGGGTTTGAATTGCTGACTTTGTGGTTAGCATACCAATGCTAATCTTAAAATGCCACCAAGGCTCCATATAGACAATTAGATGTGAAAATTTCATAAAGTTGTATGTATGCCCTGATTATAGCTATGTTAAAAATGCTTAACCTGAATTAAAGGTCTCAGGAGTAAACACTATTTTATACACAATCCTGCAGTAATGGAGATCTATGAGTAGATGCATGGATAGACATGTAGGCTGAATGGGTGTGGGCGGGAGAGTGAGAATATACCCATAAATGAATAAAGATTTGACAGCGCATATTCGTATATGAGTATTTACTTTTGCAGCAAACATGTCCGTTAATGTGGTAGAGCACACATGGGGCAAAGTTATGAAAACATCTTAAATATTACCGAACACCTTGAGGGAATGAGTCTCTGGACTTAGGGGCTCCAGGACTATAGTCTCAGGGGACACCATGGTCAACTGACATAACACAGTAAACAAAGACAATGCTCTACGTCTCATTTTGGTGAGTAGTGACTGGGATCTTAAAGGTCCTGAGTGGCCATCTAGGGTGCATAGTAAGAAGGAATGATGAAAATTTCTGGGAAATTGAACTAATGAACCATATGAACAATAGTCTCCACAACCCTGAGACCAGGAGAACTAGGTGGTGTCTGGCTAACACTACCAACTGTTCTGAAAGGGATCCATATTAGAAGGTTCTGGATAGAGTGGGAGAAAATGTAGAACAAAACTCAAAATAAAAAATTATCAGGTTTATTGGTCAGAGGCTGATAGAACCCAGAGAATATAGTGTTACCCTTCAGTTTTGGAACTGAACTCATATCTGTGGCTCAATTTTCAGCCAATATATAGATAGGTATGTAGTGGGGGAAGGGTCAACAACACTAGTGAGGTTTGCATACCATAGTAGAATGGTCAGTCATTTGAGATCAAAAGTGCAGCATTTACCTAAGGACAAAGTTCAGAAGGATAGGACAGAAGGCAGAATGAGAACAAAAAACAGGGAAGAAGTAGGCTAGGGGATATTATATTGAGGGAATTATAATCACTGAGATGAAACATTTATTGAATGTAAAACTGATGATCTTCTTTGTAAATCTTCACTCAACATCATAACAAAATGTTTAAAAATAAATGCTTACACTGATGGAGGGAAACCTGTTGTGGCGCTGTGGGTCAATGCACTGGACTGTAAAGTCAATTTGGACCACAAGGTTGGTGGTTCAAGCTTGCTAGCTGCTCCTTGGAAAACCTGTACAGGGTCACTATGGATTAGAACTGACTAAATGGCACTTAACAACATCAACAACACAGATGGAGATTTAACGTGGACTTAGAATAATAAACCTACTTAAGATAACATGTACCATTAAGCTCTATGCCTCTCTGTCACCCACGTTTTCTGTCCCCACCACCGCTACCTTCTACACCCTCAATTCTGACCAAGAGTAAAAAAAGGCTGTTGAGATCATATCTGCTAGAATTTATCTGCCATAATTGAGTCTCAGATAAAGAGTTGTGGATTTCTTCAATTGGTGTTCTGTTTTTCCCACAAGTGGGGTTGCTGGCAAACAGTTTACTACTGTTTACTTGGTGAGAATTACAAGGACTATTGTTGTTGTTAAGTACCGTGGAGTCGGTTCCACCTTATAGTGACCATACACAGGGTTTCTGAGGCTGTAAATCTTTACGGGAGCAGAACGCCTCATCTTTCTCCCGTGGAATGGCTGGTAGTTTCGAACTGCCATCTTGAGATTAGAAGCCCGATTCATAACCACTACACTACCAGAGCTCCTTAACCACTGTTCACTTGGATAAATGCCTACTCATGAGAATGGGAAAAGCTGTGGAGAAGCAGTTCATCCTCAGGGTGGGTTAGGACAGTATCAGGAAAGTGGTCCTCTCCATCCCAATTCTGTCAAACTTGGAACAATGGCTCTGCTCCTGTGTCTGGCACAACACTCCACCTGCACCATTAGTCAGTTCTCTCTGACCTTCTGGTTAACTAGTTCCTTGTTTAGTAGAGCGGACCAAGCCTAGGATTTATTCAACCTCAGCTGTGGATATGAATGGCTAGCACAGATAATCCTGAAGTAGGACCTTTTAGTCAATAGTTTCAACTTGATATCTGCCAGACCCTCTTCAGAGAATTAAGTAACTATGACATACACGGTTAAGAGTATCAGAAACAGAAAAAAGCTAGAGAAACAAATCATAGGAAAAAGACGTAAATTATAAATATTATGGCTTATAACAATTGGAAGCCTAATACCCTGGGGTATGAAAAAAACAAATATCTAAGTTGCATTACTTGAAAACAGGAATCTTATTTTCTAGTTCTTAAGCATCTCCTCTGGTTTCTAATATAGGGCTAGGAGTCCTGGGGTGGCACTGTGGGTTAATGCGCTAGGCTGCAAAGTTGGTTTGAACCTCAAGGCCGGTGATTCAAGTTCACCAGCTGCTCCTCAGAAACCCTATACAGGGTTGCTATGGGCCAGAACCAACTCCACTACACTTAATAACAACAATATAGGGCTAAGAGCAGACATTTGGCATACCAAAATTATCACTCTTTTTTCAATTCAGAATGCTGATTTCAAGTTTAACATTTAAAAAGGGGTTCCTAGTTCATATTGAAATCTGTTATACTTTGTACTTACCTTTAAACTCTTTTGAAGAATCGGAATTGGGAAAGAACTGTCTGATTTTGAGCTTAACCATAGCCTAAACTCTGGGTCTATTGTCACATCTGGATGATTAAATCTGCAAAAAGAAGAAAATTTAAATGTGAAAAAATGAAACACTGACTTTTTTTTTAATCAGAGTGATAGTATTTCAACAATTAACATGACCTTCCCTACAAATCATTATAGTAATCAGTAATCTTATCAGACTACTATAACAGCTTCTTGTGGCAAAAGAATTTGACTCATTGACTCCCAGTTTTAAAAAATAGCTTTTCCTCCCATAAGTGCAAAAGAAATAAATTCTCACTGCAAAAAACTCCCAACCAACTGACTTACAAGGTTTCAAGGGGGAGTTTAGTTTAAGAGTGTGTGGGGAAAGAAAGAGTCCCGATTGAATAGTTTTCATCTTGTCTAGATGGGTCTGGTGAAAAGAGATGGGAATAAGATTCTTTTGATTCAGTAGTAATTGTTATCATGACTAATTATGACTGTCACAATTGTAAAAGTAGAAGTTTTGTAACAAAAATGGGGAGTGGTTAATTTTACAGTTCAGAAACAAAGCACCCTAAGGTCATCTGTTACTGCAGTTTTAGATTCGAGAGTGTCATAGCAGCTCTTGATCCGTCATCAAAGAAACCGAGGCCACTCGGAGAGGTGAAGCAGAGTTTCAGATTTCATTAAGCTGGCTGGCTCAGAGGAGCTAATTTCTCCAGGAGCTATTTTCTCTGAGCCCCGAATATAGGGCAGCGTACTCTTATACATGGTCAGAATAGGGGAGTGGTTAGCTTGCAGACCTGTTTGAACACAGGAGGGAGCCAGAGGATTGGTTCCGCTCAGTAACCTGATTAACATTCTAGTTTGACTCCTGTGCAGAGAGGATTGGTTCAATTTAGTAACCTGATTAAGATTTTAGCTTGTCTCCTGGGCAGAGAGGGCCGTGAATGTTTTTACCTTTTCCTGTTCACATCAAGGGAGAAGAGCATAAGCAGAATGTGAGACCTTATCCAGAGAAGAAGCAGTGACACCAGAGATGGAGGTAGAGATGGGGACATGGAGAGAGGGAGCAGCTGAGGACTCTGGATTCATGGGAAGAGAGGGACTAAGAGTTGGTGGCCAGGAGGCAGACTTGCAGAATGTGCCCTTTGGAGGTGTAAATTATTACATATGCCTGAGTATTTAAAAAAAGAAAGAAAGAAAAAGAGCTAAAGTGAATAGAGAGAAATATTGTGAACTAATGGTGTGAGAAACATTGCCTGTACTGACAAACGCTCAAGTAATCCAATCTGTACTCATTTTAGCGAGAGTGAGGTGTTCTTTATTCAATTATGCAAAATAGAGTGCTTGATCCAGTAGACACAGGCAGATGCACGGCATGGCCATTTGACAGAGTTTTATTAACCTAACTCAGAAAAAGTTCCTCCTGCATTTCCCCTTTACTGGGTACTTTGGAGTTTACAATCTTTCCCGGAATGGTGCCTACTAATCCCTTGTTGTTGTTGTGAAGTGCCGTTGAGTCAGTTCTGACCCATAGCGACTCTGTACAGGGTTTCTGAGGAGTGGCTAGTGAGTTTGAACTGCGGACCTTGCAGTCCAGTTGGCTTTGCAGTCTGGAGCATTAACCCACAGTGCCACACCAGGATTCCTACTAATCCCTACAGGGAGCATTTTCATTTAAAGTTAGTTTCACCCCTTTCCCATGAACTTCTCCTACTTCTTTGATGAGTGTATTCTTATTTTAAGACTCTAGCAGGTCAAACTAGCATATCGGTTACCAATATAGTCGGGATGCTAATCTCAAGGTCAGTAGTTCGAAACTATCAGCTGTTCCGGGGGAGAAAGATGAAGCTTTCTGCTCCTGTAAAGATTTGCAGGCTAGGAAACCCTGTGTAGGGTCACTATGAGTTGGAACCGATTCCATGGTATTTAGCACACAACAACAACAAGCAGGTCAAACTAGTAGTCTCTTTGTCTCATGAGAGTTCCCTTTTGTCATGCCAACCTTCTACCGCCAAGATTTCTTTGATTCTGAAGATGGATCACCCCAACAGTTATTTCTCACAAATGTACATGGAGGTGTACAATATATATATATATGTATATATACATATATATATAAATATATATATAAATATATATATATATATAAATAAATATAAATATAAATATAT